TACATAGTAGAGTCGCCTGTGGAAGTTTTAAAACTCAAGGATCCGGGTGCCTGGGTGGCTCAGTTGGTTAAGCGACTGCCTTCGGCTCAGGTCATGATCCTGGAGTCCCAGGATCGAGTCCCGCGTCAGGCTCCCTGCTCAGCGGGGAGTCTGCTTCTCCCTCTGACCCTCCTCCCTCTCATGCTCTCTGTCTCTCATTCTCTCTCTCTCAAATAAATAAATAAAATCTTTTAAAAAAAAAAAAACTCAAGGATCCCCAGTCTTCACCTGCAGGCCAATTAAATCAGAATCCCTGAGGTTGGAATCACAAGGAACCTAAAGGCTTAAAGGCAGCCTAGGCAATTTGAATATGCAGCTGGGGTGGCCAAACACTGTCCTGAGGCCATCCAGTCCCTTCAGGGAATACTTCTTGCTTTTGATGTGCAGGTGAATCAATACAGATTAATTTAGTAAAATCTGGGCATTTCTAACCAGATTCCAGTTGATGCAGTTACTTTCAGGCAAAGGACCACACTTTGAGGAGCAAGATTTTACGAGAGGCCAGAAAAGAAAAAGCAATTTGTTTCAATATAGAGTCATAGGTCTGTGTGAACTGAAAATGCAGATCACTTACAACCACATTGCTATAATGAATACTGCCATAGAAACGAAGGAGGGGAGGGACAGTGAAAGAAAAATTTATCTTGGGGCGCCTGCGTGGCTCAGTCGGTTAAGCATCTGCCTTAAGCTCAGGTCATGATCCCAGGGTCCTGGAATGGAGTTGAGTCTGCTTCTCCCTCTGCCTCTGCCCCTCCCCTAGCTTGTGTGCTCTCCCTCGCTCTTGCTCTCTCTCTCAAATAAATTAAATTAAAAATTAAAAAGAAAAGAAAAAAGAAAAACTTAACTTAATAGTTCTGCAATGGGTTACTGTCTCCTCTCCCGTTATCTTACTGTTTTCTGTCACAATGTCCTTCATAGGCCAAAAGGAGTTAATATTTGCTCCCTGGCTACTTTTTCAAAAAACAGTACGAGATTTGTATTAGATCATTTTATATGCAGCATCTCAAATATGCCATAATTTAAAGGATACACGCTTAGACCATATTAGAATTTAGTTCAAAGTTCATTTCCCTAGGACCTTTTTCAACCATTTTAGTCTGTCGGAGCTAAAAGCAGCAATATGCGGATTGTGCAACCATGTGAAGCTGATCAAATCAAGCCTTGAAAGTGTAATTGGTAAATCTCCTCATGAGCTTTTGAAAAATTAATCAAGACAGGTTGGGTGAACCTTTGCTGAGAGTCTCTTTAGGACAAATGACTTGGTTCCCAATGTATTGTCATAAAGGAAAACTCCAGCTGCAAATCCCAAGGTGACCCATTTATCTCGCTTGGATGGAGCATAATGACTTCTTAAGCACTGCAAATAATTCTGCTGGTTTAAAATCAATTTGGTTGATACAATTAAATGAAACTATTTGATCCTACAGGTTCAAAAACCATCCATTTGACTCACACATTAATATTTTAATATGGAAACAGCCACCATAATCTTCCAATGCCTTCTAATAACATTCTGTAGGGATATGTTGCAGAAAGCGCAGAGAGTGTTGTCTTTAAAATCTCTGCTGAATTAGTCATGAGAATCGGTATTAGAATATTTATTCCTCCAGCACTCATAAAGCAATTGAAGCTAATGCCTCTCCAAGGCCTTTTGCATGTGTTCACCAGAGAAGGCAGAGAAGCTCCAAGTGGTGCCTCAGTTCCACCAGATGGTCAAGCTCCCCATCCCACCACCGTCAAAGGTGCAAGGCCGACTTGGAACACACAGGTATGGTCAACGATATTTTCAGTTCTCGGTTTAATGACTCAGTTGATGATTACGTAACACAGGTGACCACTCCCCCTCTTGGAACTCTCTTCAGTTTTTCTTATAGGACACCGCTGCTTCCGGTCTCTCTGACCACATTTTCTGCATCTCTTCTTTCTCTGACAAAACTTTCAATGCTGGGATTCCCCAATTTCTAATCCGCTGCCCTCTTCCCTTCCCATTTACTTATCCCCCCTCTCTTTATGGTTTCAACTCTCACCCATAAGGCAATAACTCCAGCTGTAATTCCAGGCCTGGCTTCTCCTCCAAGGTCTAGATCCATGTTGTTCAATAGGGGAGCTGCTAGTTACAGGTGGCTAAGAAACGTAATTAAAATTAAATAAAATTTGGGCGCCTGGGTGGCTCAGTCGGTTAAGCGACTGCCTTCGGCTCAGGTCATGATCCTGGAGTCCTGGGATGGAGCCCCGCATCGGGCTCCCTGCTCGGCGGGGAGTCTGCTTCTCCCTCTGACCCTCCCCCCTCTCATGCTCTCTGTCTCTCATTCTCTCAAATAAATAAATAAATCTTAAAAATAAATAAATAAATAAATAAATAAATAAATAAATAAATAAATAAATAAATAAAATTAAATAAAATTTGAACTTCCTCAGTCACACTAGCCACGTTTCAATACTCAACCGCATATGTCTAGTATACACCACATCGGGTGGTCCAGAGACAGCACATATCCATCATCACAGAGAGTTCTACTGGACAGTGACAGCTAGATTAGAACAGCGAGTAAAGATGTGCCAGGCTCTCTGCCAGGTCTGTCACAGGGAAACTAATCTAATCCTCACATGGAACTTCTGAGGTACTTACAGTAGTCAACATTATAGAGACAGGAAGTAGACTGTTGGTTGCTGGGGGTGGCCGGGGAATGGAGATTGGGGAGTTACTGTTTAATGAGTGTAAGGTTTCCATTCCGCAGGATAAAAATAGTTCTGGAGATGGAGGGTGGTGTTGTTGGCACAACAGTACGAAAGTACTGAATACCACTGAACCGTACACTTCAAAATGGTTGAGATGGGGAATTTTGTGTGTATGGTGGTACAATAAGAACAAACAGGACAGATACAGTATGCACTGCGGGAAATGGGTATTTGGGACCCCTCACTACCACACATAACTTGAGCCAGCACTAAGACTACTGAGAGAGAATCCAATTTAAATGGGAACTTTAGGGTAGACAAAGAAAGGAGGGGCACCTGGGTGGCTCAGTCCGTTAAGCTTCTGCCTTGGCATGTCAGGTCTTGATCCCGGGGTCCTGGTATCAAGCAAGCCCTGAGCCTGGGTGGGCTCCCTGCTCAGCGGGGACTCTGCTTCTCCCTCTCCCTGTGACCCTCCCCCCACTTGTGCTCTCTCGCGCGTGCGTTCTCTCTCTCTCTCTCAAATAAATAAATAAAATCTTAAAAAAAAAAAAAAAAAGATGTGCCTGGAACTATGGCTTGAAAAGTGAAACTAATTCGATGGAAATAAACCTGTCATATATTTAACAACATCCAGGTTAACACTGCAACTATTTGTTCAAATTTAGAACAAAGACTCATTGGTTATTTGATATAACAGTTTGGAAAAAGCTATGAAGAATAACAATAAGTGAATAGGGTTTTTTGGTTTTTTTAGAATCCACCTATAAGTGAGATCACATGGTATTTGTCTTTGTTGGTCTGATTTATTTCACTTAGCATAATGCCCTCAAGGTGCACCTATGTTGTCGCAAATGGCAAGATTTCCTTCTTTTTTATGGCTGAGTAATATTCATATATGTGTGTGTGTGTGTGTATTCCCAATATACACCAATTACATTCCCACCACCAGTGCACAAGGCTTCCCTGTTCTCCACATCCTAACACTTGTTATTTCTTGCTTTTTTGTTAATAGCCATTTTCACAGGTATGAGGTGGACAACTCATTTAGTTTTGATTTGCTTTTCCCTGATGAGTGATATCAAGCATCTTTTCAAGTTCCTATTGGCCATCTATATGTCTTCTTTGGAAAAATATCTATCCAAATCTGCCCATTTTTTAATTTTTAATCTGATTGTTTGTGGGTTTTTTGTTGTTGAGTTGTATGAGTTCGTTATACATTTTGAATGTTAACCCCATATATATATTTTTTTCCTCTCACTCAGGTTGCCTTTTTACTTTGATAGTTTCTTTATAGTTCGATGTACATCATATTTTTGACTCTTGTAAATCTCATAAGTGAAAACATAGTTTCATGGTTTACACATCTCTTATTATGAGTAAGATCACATAAGGCTTATGTTTTAAGAGGCACCCATTTGTATTTTCTATTCATGTCATTTGCTCATTTTTATGTTGAGTTGGTTTTTTATATAAATATTAAAAAATCATTTTATTATGAATGACAGTGAATCTTTCATGATATATTGTTGAAAATATTATCTTTTATTTAGCTTTTTTTTTTGAAGATTTTAAAAATGCCATTAAGGATACCAATATCGTTTTTTATGGTTTCATGATTTTTGTGTTGCTTTAGGCTTTCCTAGTCTAAGATGATAAAAAATTCTCCCATGTCCTGGTATTTTTATGGCTTTCTTTTCTATTAACATCTTTGATATCTCTGGGATTTGTTTTGGTGTAGGAATGATATAGGGATTTAACTCAATTTTTTTCAGTTGTCTCCAGTTTTCCCCAGACCATTTAAGGATATTTCATTCTTTCCCACTGTTTACCTTTTTGATTTGGTACTCAGGTCACATAGCTTCTCTCTCCCTGGGAACTGGGTGCAAGTTTCCTTGGGGACCAGGTACGTTGTTCAACATTATCCCTTTCTGTAGACCTTCTCCCATTGCCCCTGCTCCATTCTAAAGCCTTCACACAAAGGGTCTCCTCTTGTCTGGAAGTCTCCTTCCCCACCCCCTTGACTTCCTACCCCCTCCTCCTCACATTTCAGCCTTTCTCTAAGCCGGGTGCCATGTCACTTTCTCTAAGCTGGGTGCCATATTACATATCCCCAATCACCCCATATTCTTTTCCTTTTTGGTATAGCTGTTCCCCACAATGATAAAAGTCCAATCCATGTTGGTCACTTCAGTGACCCTGCTGTCTACATTAGTACCTCATAAACAGTGAATGCTTGATAAAAAGTTTACTGAAAGAATGTGATGTTTATTTTTCCCCTCAGATCGATTCTCTTCTTCATGCAGTGGTTACAGAATGAGGGGCAGCTGTGGTCCCTCTATGAGCCCTGAGTCCAGCCCCTGGACTCTTCTGAGGCTCCTCAGAGCCTCCTACTGAGAAGTGGCCACTCCAGCAGCCTGCCTGGCCCCTCCAGACATGTCTAGCTTTGACCTTACAGATCCAGATATGGAGGGTGCCTATAGCTTTGGCCTTTGCACTAAGGCTCTGTGACTTATTAATTTCCAGAAAAAGAAGCATTATAGCAGGAGAGTTTTCTTGGCTCAGTATGATCTTTTTCCCTCTTATTTTACCACCTTGGATGTGAGGCAATATGAATGCAGTTAGCACTCAGAGAAGCTGCCACTGGCCACTTAAGATGTTGCATGATTTTTTTTTTTTTTTCCTTTTAACTTAGCATTGGTACCTGTTGAATGAACACTATTGTCCTTATAAAATCCCAGATATTCTACTTGGTGATTTCTGTAGAAATAAATTCTGCTCTTGGGGATTCTAATACTCATGCTGTAAAAGTTAGAAGTAGAAATCGGCAGGGAAGAGAAAGAAGAAAGAGAAAAATACAGGTTATTAGCAGAATGCTTGGCTCTTGCTTCTCAAATATTTTAAATTCAGAAAAAAAGTTTAAAAATTCAAGTACAACATTATCATCAACATAAATTAACATTTAATTAATTATACACTCAGGGTATTGCTCTGAAGTGAGTTTAATTAAAAAATAACTCGGATTGGCAATATGTTGGCTGGATATCTCTATCCCCTTGAGAAGGGGAGGTTGAATAGTTGAAATAGCATGGTCTGACTGCTGCAGACCAAGATTATCCTGTCTCATTCTTCAGTCTGCCCTTCCTTCTCTCTCCCAAGGGCAGAAATGAACAAAACAATGGCTTCCTAATTGTTTAGTATTCAGTTTTCTGCTTAGCAAAAACTGTGGTTATACCAGTTCTCACATATTTTTTTTTTAAAAGAAAGGTTATTGTGTTTAGAATTCAGTGCATACTAATCGTTAACTCATTTCCCCCTTAAAAAATAAAAGACTTTATTGTGGAAAAATTTTAAAAGTTACTAAGTACACAGAATAGTATAATGAATATCCTTGGACCCATCGTTCAGGTTTAATTACCAACATTCTGCCATTTTTCTTAATCTGTACCTCCGCCGACTCTCCATCTGCCCAAATATTAACTGTACGACTTTGACAATGGTATATCTATATAGCCCACATCAAAATGAAAATATAGAATGTTTCCACCACCCCAGAAAATTACTTCTGTCTTCCCATCAATTCTTTGTCCTCTCCCCAACCCTGCAGGCAACCACTATTCCGATTTTTTTTTTCAAAAATATATTAGTTTTTGCTCGTTCTATAATTTCATGCACAGAGAATCATCAAATATGTACTACTTTGTATCTTATGCTTCTTTTAATTAGCAAAATGTCTGTGAGCTCCATTCATCTTATTACATGTATCAGTAATGCATTCTTTTCTATTGCTGAGAAGTACAATGGTGTGAATATACCACAATTTGTTTATTCATTCTCTGGTTGAGAGAGAGTTGTTTCCTTTTTTTAGGTATTTTAAATAAGGCTGCTAACGTTCTTGTGCCAATGTTTTTGTGGATTTGTTTTCATTTCTCTTAAATAAAATACTTAGCATGGAATAGGTGGATGTTTAACTTTATATAAACCTGCCAAACCTTTTTCCAAAGTGATTGTACTATTTTACATTCCTACCAGGGGTACATGAGAGTTCTGTTTGCTTCGTATCTTAACAAATATTTTCAGCAGCCCATTAAATTTTTGCTTTTCTAGAGGGTGTATAGTGGTTCTTCACTGTGTTTTAATTTCCTTTTTTTTTTTTTTTTGGATGACTGATGATATTAGGCATTTTTCACAAATTTTTTGGCCAATTATGTATCTTCCTTTGTAAAGTGTCTGTTCAAATTTTTTGTCTACTTTTTTTATTTGGTTGTCTTTTTATTATTGAGTTATAAAAAGTCTTTATATTTTCACATGAGAGTCCCTTGTCAGACAAATGAATATTTTCTTCCAGTCTGATGTTTGCCTATTCATTGTCTTAATATTTTTCAGTGAGCAGAAGTCTTTGATTTTGAATGAAGTCTTATTTAGCAATTAGAAACATTTTACGGATTTTACTTCCTATGTCTTTAACCTAGTTTGATTCAATTTGAGTTAATTTTTTGTATATAGTGTTAGGTAAAGGTCCAATCATTAGTTTGCATGTGGATATCTAGTTTTCTCAGCACCAAAAGGTCGTCTTTTCCCCCATTGGCACCCTTGTCAAAAATCATTTGAGCATATATATGAGTTTATTTCTGGGGCCCTTATTCTATCCCATTAGTCTGTAAGACCTCAGTTTGGTTTGTTTGTTCTTTCCAAGATTGATTTGGCTATTCAGGTTCCCTTGAGATTCCATATGAATTTTAAGATGGGTTTTTCTACTTCTTGCAAGAACAGTCATTGGGATTTTTTTAGACATTACACTGAAGCTGTAGATCGCTTTGGGTACTATTGACATCTTCACAGTATTAAGTTCTCCCAACCCATGAGCCTGGGATGTGTTTCCATTTAGTTATGTCTTCTTTAGTATCCTTCAGCAGTGATTTGTTGTTTTCATTGTGCAAGTCTTTTACCCACTTAGGTAAGTCAATTCCTGAGTATTTTATTCTTTTTGATACTATTGTAAAGGGAATTATTTTTTAATTTCCTTTTCAGATTGCTCACTCTTAGTGTATAGAAATGCACCTGATTTGTTTATGTCGACTTCATATCCTACTACTTTGATGAATTTGCTTATTACCTCTAATAGTGTGTGTGTGTGTAATCTTGAGAGTTTTTTACATTCAGAATCATATCATCTGCAAACAAAGATAATTTTATTTCTTCCTTTCCAATTTGGATGCCTTTTATTTCTTTTTTTTGCCTATTGCTCTAGTGAGGACTTCCAGTAATATGTGAATAGAAGTGGGAAAAGTAAGCATCCTTGCCTTGTTCCTGACAATAAGGGAAGAGTGGTCAGTCTTTCACCATTGAGTATGATGGTCACTTTGGGCTTTCCATATAATGGCTTTTATTATGTTGAGGTAGTTTCCTTCTATTCCTAGTTTGTTTTATCCTGAAAGGATGTTGAATTTTGTCAAATGCTCTTTCTGCCTCAATTGAGATGACCATGTGCGTTTTTCCCTTTGTTTTGTTGAAGTGGTGTATTACATTGATCAACTTTCACATGCTGAACTATCCTGGCACTCCAGAAATAAATCCCATTTGGTCATGGTATGTATTCCTTTTAATATGCTGCTGAATTCAGTTTGTATTTTTCTGAGGATTTTTTCATCAATGTTCATAAGAAATTTTGGTCTGTATTTTTCTTTTCTTGTAATGTCTTTGTCTGGCTTTGGTATCAGGATAATTCAGTCCTCAGTATAAGCTGGGGAGTATACTCTCCTCTTAAATTTTTTGGAAAATTTTGAGAAGAACTGGTATTAGTTCTTCTTTAAATGTCTTGCAGAATTCACTGGTGAAATCATCAGGTCCAGGGCTTTCCTTTGTCTGAAGATTTTTTTTTTCACTCCAAAACTATCTTTTTTTTTTTTTTGGATTATTTATAACCATTTCTTTCAAGACAGCTATTTTAGTACTTCACATGATATGAAGAAAGAAACCTTCTGGGCGCCTGGGTGGCTCAGTCAGTTAAGCAACTGCCTTCGGCTCAGGTCATGATCCTGGAGTCCCGGGATCAAGTCCCTCATCGGGCTCCCTGCTCAGCAGGGAGTCTGCTTCTCCCTCTGACCCTCCTCCCTCTCGTGCTCTCTGTCTCTCATTCTCTCTCTCGCAAATAAATTAAAAAAAAAAAGAAAGAAACCTTCTTTGGGGCGCCTTGGTGGCTCAGTCGTTAAGCGTCTCCCTTTGGCTCGGGTCATGGTCCCAGGGTCCTGGGATCAAGCCCCGCATCGGGCTCCCTGCTCCGCAGGAAGCCTGCTTCTCCCTTTCCCACTCCCCCTGCTTGTGTTCCCTCTCTCACTGTATCTCTCTCTGTCAAATAAATAAAATCTTTAAAAAAAAAAAAAAAAAGAAACAAACCTCCGAATTTATATAATACCTTTCATGTACTTAATGCAAATTATAAACAGTAATTTGTAAGTTTGTACAATAAAGGTACCTGCAAAAGTGAGGCAGGGGTGTGATGCTCCTTGCTACATGTCGGAAGTTCAGCATCTTTAGTGAAGCAGCCATATCCATTTGAAGGACTAATGGTTGGGCGGAGAGAGGGATGCCAATTCAAGTCTCCTTGGGCATCTTCTGCAATACTGTGGCAGATAACGTGGGTCAAATATTCCAGTTTATCTTTGTTCTTGGTCCTAGTCCATTTGAGCTCCTGTAACAAAACACCACTTGTAACTAACAGACATTTACTTCTCACAGTTCTGGATTCTGGAAGTCAGAGATCAGGGTGCTGGCGTGGCCGGGCGGGTTCTGGTGAAGCCCCTCTTCTGGGAGCTGACTTTTCACTGTGTCCTCACCAGTTAAGGGGTCTTGTCCTTTCTAAAATATTGGCCAGAGAATCAGTCACAAAGTTTTCTTTCCAAGATAATGCTAATCCATGTACACTTGTAATACCAGAACTTTGGGGAATAGGATTATTTTTTTTTCTAAAGATTTTATTTATTTTTTTAGAGAGCGAGCGAGAGAGAAACAGCATGAGAGGGGAGAGGGTCAGAGGGAGAAGCAGGCTCCCCGCTGAGCCGGGAGCCCGATGTGGGACTCGATCCCAGGACCCTGGGATCATGACCTGAGCCGAAGGCAGACGCTTAACCATCTGAGCCACCCAGGCGCCCAGGATTATTATTTTTAATATTTTGCTTTGCTAATTTACAAGAGGCAGAAGTGAAATATATATTATTTGAGTTGAACTGTAATTGTTTATCTTGGTTTTAATTGATCTCTGCTCTAATTATCAACAGACAAGCAGCTCATGTTTGGTGTCCGTGGTGGTCTCCCGCCTACACTCTGCAATCTCTCCCTGCAGCAACCAGAGCCCCCCAACCTGGGGGGTGTGAGGACACATATATCCCAGGCTGCCCAGAATGGTCCATGGGGGACAAATAAAACAGTAAGTCTCCAATTTGCACTTGTTTTATATTAATAAATAAGAAAGAAGTTAGACCTCTAATATTTACTTGGGAGAACAATCGTACTGTTTGTGTGTGAAATGTGCAGTATGCAAGGCTTGAATAAAGAGTAGAAGTTCACTATAATGTGTGAATTTCTTGAAGTGATCAAGAGAACATCAAGACTCAGATGTCTTCTGTTCCCCTTAAATTAGCTCCATTATGACATAAAACAGGGATCTAATCAGACCTGACTTATAATCTGCAAAAAATTCAAAATTGTCAAAGGCTATGTCATTATTACCACAAGCTTCATAGTTTCGTGCATATTTTATAATCTACATAATATGTCTGCATAGTGCTACATATGTATAATTTATGTATATGTATAAATATATTGGATGTTTACTAAAACATTTCATTTTTTTATTTTTTTCACTTGTATTTTTGTATTTAAATTCAATTAATTAACATATAATGTATTATTAGTTCCAGAGGTAGAGGTCAGTGACTCATCAGTCTTATAAAATACCCAGTGCTCATTAAATCACATGCCCTCCTTAATGTCCATCACCCAGTTACCCCATCCCCCCACCCCCTCCGCTCCAGCAACCCTGTTTGATTCCTATGATTAAAAGTCTCTCATGGTTTCTCTCCCTCTCTGATTTCTTCTTGTTTTATTTTTTCCTCTCTTCCCCTATGATCCTCTGTTTTGTTTCTTAAGTTCCACATATGAGTGAGATCATGTGATAATTGTCTTTCTCTGACTGACTTATTTCGCTTAGCATAATACCCTCTAGTTCCATCTACGTCATTGCAAATGGCAAGATTTCATTTTTTGATGGCTGAGTCTTATTCCATTGAATATAAATACTACATCTTCTTTAACCATTCATCTGTTAATGCACATCTGGGCTCTTTCCATAGTTTGGCTATTGTGGAACGAGAGAACAAAATACTAAAATGGCAACAATGAGCCTAGAGAAATATACACTAAACAAATTAGACGAGACTTGAAACCAAAAAAAAGAAATTAAATTAAATTAAAATTAAAAAAAGAGAGAGAATATCATCAGACAGGTGAACAGAACAGAGCAATACATTGGATCCTGTGTGTATTTTGGTCTGTTTGTTAGAAAACTAGATCCCAAAATTGTAGAGAAAGTGAAACTTATATATGTACAAAAATAAAATTAAATACAATGAAAGGACAGAATGTAAGTGTAAAAATGAAAATTAAAAGATTTTTTAAAAAGAGTTGATAAAATAAAAAATTGAAAAAGGAAAGAGAAAAAATATTAAAATTGAAAGACTAAAAAATTGTGGGAAAAAAACATGAATTCTATATACTATTTTCCACTAGCACTGGAGTTTTGCAGTTCTGTGTGATCAGTAAACTTGGTATTAGCCAGATGTTCTTGCTGACCTTCTGAGGGAGGGGCCTGTTGCACTGATTCTCAGGTATCTTTGCCCCTGGGGGACCTGCACCGCCCTTGCCCGGTCCATCTGCTCGGGTTTGCTCTCAGGAGCTTTTGTTCCCCGCAAGCTTTCCATACAGCTTTGGAGGAGGAGAGTGAATGGCGGCCTCCCAATCTCCAGGCCCAGAGCCGAAATCTCATGCCCCCCACTCCTCAGTGCGCCCCCAGAGAAAAGCAGTCAGTCACTCCCGTCTCGGCTCCGGCAGCACTCCCTGCTCACCCAGCCTGTGACCGAGTGTTTCTATCTCTGGCACCTGACCCTGTGTGGAGTCTCCAAACCCAGCAGACTCCTGCTGCACGCTCCTGCGCCTCTCCTCCTGGGGGAGGGTGGGGGGGTCTCACTAAGGCTCTGCCGCTTGCTGGGCCCCTGCCCAGAGAGCAGTCACCCGACCGTGCTGCGGGTTCAAGGTATAGGGCAACCCCGAGCTGAGAGCCCACTCCCAGGCTCCCTGATAGCAGCCGGCTTCCCCACTCCAATGCCTGGGAGCTCTGCCGCACTCAGGCACCCCGGTTTTCTGTGACCCTGGGGATCCTGACACCACACTGTCCCACCTAGGATTCCACCCCACTTCCCCACCTGAGCACCTTTCAGGCAGGGACGTCCCTCACCAGTGCAGACGTCTAAAAGTTCTGATTTTTTACTCCGCTGCTGTACCACTTGCTGGTAGCTGGCTGACGGAGACTCCCTCTCCTTGCGGTCTTTCTTCCCACATACCACCTCAGATTCCCTTCTCCGCACCTCTTACCTTGCAGGAAATGGTCACTTTTCTATCTGTAGAGTTGCAGCTCTTCTTTTCTTAGTGCTCTGGTTGAGTTCACAGGTGTTCAGAATGATTTGATGGCTATCTAGCTGAATTCCTGGCACCACACGAAACTAAGGTCTCCTACTCCTCCGCCATCTTGGACTATCTCCCCCTGAAGATTTTTTTATTATGGATTCAATCTCCCTACTAGTTTTAGGTCTAATCAGATTTTCTATTCTTTCTGGTTTGGTGCTGCATTTCCAGGAATTTGTCCATTTCATCTAGGTGATCCAATATGTATGTGTACATTTGTCCACAGTACTCTCATAATCCTTTTTATTCTTGTAGTTTGGTAGTAATGTTCCCGCTTTCTGATTTCAGTACTTTGAAGTCTCCCTTTTTTTCTTAGTCCATCTAGCTAAAGGTTTGTCAATTTTGTTGATCTTTTGGTTTTATTAATTTTCTATTATTTTTCTATTCTCTATTTCACTGGTCTCTGTTCTAATGTTTATGATTTCCTTCCTTCTGCTAGCTTTGGGTTTAGTTTGTTCCTCTTTGTCTGGTTCCTTCTGTTGTAAAGTTAGATTGCTGACTTGAGATTTTCCTGTTTTTTAACATAAGTATTTATAGCTCTAAATTTTTCATTTAGCACTGCTTCTGCTGTGCCCTATAATTTTTGGTACTTTATGTTTTTGTTTTCATTTGCCTTAAGTATTTTCTAATTTCCCTGTGATTGCTTCTTTGATCCATTGGTTGTGTGTGTTCTTTAATTTCCAGAAATTTGTAAATTTTCAATTGTCCTTCTGTTATCAATTTCTACTTTCATCCCTTTGTGGTCAGAGAAGATACTTTATATAATATCTTTTTAAATATATTGATATATCAGTTTATAGCCTAACATATAGTCTACCTTGGAAAATATCCCATGTCACTTGAGAAAAACGTGCATGCTTTTATTGGTTAGAGTGTTCTATGTATGTCTGTTAGATCCAGTTGGTTTGTTTTGTGGCTCAAGTCTTCTGTTTACTTGGTTATCTTCTGTCTGGTTGTTCTATCCATTATTGAGAGTGGGGTAGTGAAGTTTCCAGCTATTATTGTAGAACTGTCTATTTCTCTCCTCAATTCTGTCCCTTTTGCTTCACCTATTTTGGTAGTCTGTTATTAGGTGTGTAAATGTTATATCTTCTTGCTCTATTGAAGCTTTTATTAATATACAATATCCTTCTCTGTCTCTTGTAAACTTTTTTGATTTAAAATCTATCTTGCCTGATGTTAGGATAGCCAACCCTGCTCTCTTTTGGTTAGTATTTGCACAGAATATCCTTCTTCATTGTTTTACTTTTAATCTATTTGTGTTTGCATCTTAACTAAGTCTTTTGTAGACATTTTATAGTAGGGTCATTGTTTTTTTAGTCCTTTCTGCCAATCTCTTGCCAACCTTTTGATTGGAGAGTTTAATCCATTTACATTTAAAATAATAACTGAGGGGCGCCTAGGTGGCTCAGTCAGTTGAGCATCCGACTCTTGATTTCAGCTCAGGTCGTGATCTCAGGGTCATGGGATTGGGCCCTGCCTCAAGCTCCATGCTCAGCATGGAGTCTGTTTGAGATTCTCTCTCTCCCTCTCCCTCTGCCACTCCCCCTGCTCATGCTCTCTAGCTTTAAAATAAATAAATAAATAAATAAATAAATAAATAAATAAATAAATAAATAAATAAAATCTGTTAAAATAATAACATAATCACTGATAAGAGGAAATTTACCTCAGGCATCTTGCTATGTATTTTTCTACATACCTTACACCTTTTTTGTCTCCCATGCACAGCACTACTCTCTTCTTTTGTGTGTACTTGATTTTTTATAGTGAACATTTAAATTCCTTTTTCATGTCCTTTTGTGTATATTCTATAGCTATTTTCCTGTGGTTACCATGGGGATTACATTTAACATCATAAAGTTTTAACACTCTATTTTGAATTTATACCAGTGTAACTTCAATAAGGTACAAAAATTCTTCTCCTTTAAAACTGTCCTTATCCTTTTCAGT